ATGACTAATGCCATCAACATGGCAACAGAACACTGACCAATGGCCTCATTGTGGAAAAAGCAACCCAAGCAATATGGCCCTTTTAGGGCAAACACTGAAAGAGGAAACATATATTCATACCTACATGTATGGCACTTCAAGAAGGCCTTTCTCCTGAAAAATTTAGTACTATCAAACTGTTCTTTGACATATATTTAAATAAAATTTTGTGAGTTCATGCTTACATTTTCATCATCATTTTCTTTCTTTTTAAGTTTTATTTAATTTTATATATTTATTGTTCATGAATACCATGTATTTGTCTGTGCTGTAGCTCCTGGTTCTAATATTCTCAGTACCATCCTGCAGTAGTACACTCAAGCATGCATTCCCCAGTTTGTTTGCTCCCCAAGTTAACAAAGAGACAGAGATGGAAAAGGAGCTGAGAAGAATGCAACAATCATGCGGACACAGGAAATAGCAGAGGAGTCAGTAGCTGTGGAGAAGAAGGATCAATAGCTTGAGTTAGTCAAGCGTGGTAACAGCCCTAGCAAACAATTGCCACCCTAGGCTGCCTTCTGTAAACACAGAGCAGCCCAATGTCAAAACCACTTCATTACTCTTGTCTTACCTGAATGTGCTCAGGATATTTGAACTTTGGAGGATTTTGCTGTTGTAATTCACATTCCCGTGTATATAAAGATGCTAAAACAAGCATGGTCCCAGTACACCGATTCCAATCAATCGCACTTACAGTAGCCAAACAGACAAATAGTCTGGCCTAAAGTACTTCAATGTGTCTTAAATCACACTACCATGCTAACTGCTCAAGCATAAAATATGTTCACAACACCAGATTATTTTACTGATCCATTATGTCAAAAGCCTGAAAAATAGAAACAACAGTGCTCGAAGGTGACAAGGAGTGTAACAGATAATCTGAGGTAATAAATCATATTAGGGTTTTTTTTTTCCCCAAACCATGGATTTGGCAAACTATAAAAAGTGTAATTTATGTGGACTGACAGATACCAGCAATTTTTGTTTTCGCATGCTGGTAGAGCTAAAATTTGGTGCTATTGTTTGGGCTGCTTGTTCTCTTAGAAGAGAGAGTAATAACAAATTCATATAAGGCTGCCTTCAAGGGACAACTTGTTCAGATACTGACAATATTTGGGAATTGCGAATGAAATGCCTAGAAGTTTGGAGATATGAATTATATTCTCAGAACAGTGAACTATAGCCACAAACTCATAATTATGAATCCCTCAAAAATACATTCCCCTTCTTTTTCACTGGAAACTTACCTGTAAGTAAACTAGGAGGTAGTATTACATGAAAAGGTATGTTAATTTTATGCACAACCAGGGCCATTTCTGGAATGTATAAAGGCGATTTCACCCATTATGTCAATTTCTTGTTTTTGTTTCTTGATTACTATTGCATGTTTGTTTTACATAGTGGACCTGTATTTATTTCTTTTTGTAAATCTGTGCTCTCTTCAAACTCTGTTCACAGGCTACCAGTATCTCTTTCTACATGGATGAGACCCAGACTTGCAAATTTAAAAAAAGAAAAAGAAAAAAGTTTGCCTGCATTTTGCAATTTTCACCGGGGTCCGAGTGGGGAGCCAGCTGTACTCACTCAATTAGGGTGAACTGCAAAGAAGGGGCAGACAATCCCAGTAAAGTTGGTGGATATTCCAATAAAATTTATCAAGCCAGTATAAAACAGCATCTTTATTACCTCACTGGTTACTCAGAAGTCCAAACAACACAGTTCCCTTAAAGTGATCCAGCCTTAGGCCTCCATTCAGGTACCTAAGTCAAATATGATGATTTTTGAAAATCTTCTTTCATCATATAAAAGAAAAGGTTCTACCTATCCCAAAGAATTGGACACATTACCTCCCAGACTAATGAAAGTTTCAGATCTTACCCAAATACACACTACAGCCAATTCTTATTAACTAAACTAAAATTTATTTTAAAAAAAGAGAGAGAGTATGGTTAAAAGATCAATATGCATACAGACATGAGTTCAATTAATTGAGATTCAGATTCATAGCATAGATGGTGAGCTTTGTAGTTGTAAAGAGTTCTTTCTGAAATAGTTCATAGTTTACAGTCTAACGTCCAAATATATTCAGGGTATACCAGCATAACTGGGACCTTAGTCTTGGGACTCAAACTTCCCCTGATGAAGCCTAAGCAGATCTGAGGTGAACAGGATCAGGTTCCAAGGGTCTTTTTATACAGTGTTCTAGCATCTACTTGACTGCACAGTCGTGGATAAACAATAGACTTTTGATGTAACTTTTCGCTTTCTAAACACTACCAGTAATTAGTTACACAAATTAACAGGGGACAGTTTGCTTGTTCCTGCACCGTTCGCAGATTATTTGCTATACATATTTCAGGGAAGGGGTTGGAATGGGAGCAGGGAAGGGGTGAAAGAGGCGGGGCAGGGCCTCATGGAAGGGGTGGAGTGGGGGCGGGGCTGGGACAGCAGGGGGTGGGTATCAGTGATGCGGCCCTCAGGCCAATGTACTAGTCCTCATGTGGCCCTTGTGGTCATTTGAGTTTGAGACCCCTGCTGTAGAGACTCATATTTTCAGCTCTGGAGGTCCCCGGTTCAATTCCCAATTTTGGACAAAAGGGCAGTTGTCAAGATAGCACTTCTTATGCATTGTATATAGGGAAGAAAGTGATTAGCCATAGCTCTGTGTGCTATTTGTATGGGGGAGCTGGGGAAGCTTCCTCCCTAAACTCTGAAGTATTTATTCCTGGCTCTATTCAGTAACTCTCTGTCAGGAAATGTATTTTTCCCTCCTGTCTTATATTTTTCTGTAGTTTTCATTGTTAGTTGTTAAATTTATTTGTTATACATTATCCCTCATACCACAACTTTTGAATCCTATGGATAGCTTCCTTCTCTTCAGTATTTTCACAAATTCATCACTATACATTATGATAGCATTACATTTCCCCCCATATAATTTTGTCCTCATAGCAGAATAACTGAAAGAAGCAGCTCAGTTTATGATTGATTAGGAAATGTGCAATTTCAGTTCCCTTTGGAAATGTGGGTGTTTCAGGCTATATTACTTTGAATAGATCTCATTTCAGGAAATCATAGTTAGATTTGCAAACAACCTATTAGGTCACTCATCCAAACTCTGCCAGTGCAGTATTGGTCCCTACAGTATATTCTTGAATGTTTTGTCCAATCTCACTTTGAATGACTCAAGCAATAAGGCTTCCACTACTTCCTCTGGGAGACTATTCCATAGTCTAATAGATTTCACTGTTAGGAAATATTTCCTGTCACTTGGCCTACATTTTCTTATGCTCCGATTCATCTAGTTATTTGTAGTTATACTTCTCTAGACCTCCCTTAACAGGACCTTTTCCTTCCTTGATACTTATACCCTTCAGTAAATTGTAGATGGTTAACAAAAAGAAAAGGAGTGGCACTTGTGGCACCTTAGAGACTAACCAATTTATTTGAGCATGAGCTTTCGTGAGCTACAGCTCACTTCATCGGATGCATACTGTGGAAACTGCAGAAGACATTATATACACAGAGACCATAAAACAATACCTCCTCCCACCCCACTCTCCTGCTGGTAATAGCTTATCTAAAGTGATCATCAAGTTGGGCCATTTCCAGCACAAATCCAGGTTTTCTCACCCTCCGCCCTCCCACACACAAACTCACTCTCCTGCTGGTAATAGCCCATCCAAAGTGACCACTCTCTTTAAAATGTGTATGATAATCAAGGTGGGGTTAACGGATCTCTTTGGTCATCATTTGGCCAAGGTAAAACATTTTTAGCTCTTGTAATCTTTCCGTATAAGTAGGCCATCTGATTGGTGGGGAGATTATTTTTGATTAAATGCTGTCTTAAAAGAAGCAAAGAGGAAAAAATGCATTAGCATCGTGGAGTTTCAGGGGACCCAAAATCTTATTTTTAAAATCAAAATGTTTAGGTTTTTTGAGTTTTAAGTAGAAGTGGAGAGTTTCCCCAAAGAACTTAAATTTTTTTTTCTAACTCTAACAATTTATCATGTATCATGGCTGGCATCATCAGTGCATGTTTTGGAATGTTGCTTGATCTATGTTCTGCACTAGTTTTTAAGAAAAATGTGTGCCTCTGCAGTATGTGCGGAGGGAGCTGTGGCAGCAGCAATAACACAAGCTGTTCCGTTAGTGTGGTGATGACACAGGATGCTCAGTGGGCATTTGAAGGCCTGTTTGCTAATTTACAGCCAGTAGTGAGAAAATTGAGCTTCTGGAATTCTGCAACAGCATCACCAGACAGCTCAGGTAAGATAGCCAGGTGGAGAAAAAATGGAGGGAAGGATTCTTGGGGTAGAAATAATTTTTTCATGTTGAATCCTAACAACAGACCCCTTACTTGTAAATCAGTCCCTCCAACCATTTAATCATTTATGTTGTATTTTTCTGAATTCCCTCTGACTGGTATCATAGAGTCCAGAAATATATTGTTGTCTCACTTGCTTTTTGTTTTTGTTTTTTTCTTCCATATTGCAAGTTCATATCCACTACCATCCTTGTAGGGTTTTCTAAGGTCCCTATTCTGCCAAGACTTGTGCATATATTTAATTATATTTTGCAGAATCTGTACCCAAGTAATTTTTTCCTATTTAATATAATAATGCTTAGCTCTTACATAACACTGTATAAACATGAACTAATAATCCTCATATTGGAATCTCCCTGTTGGACTGGTAACATTGAGAGGTTAAGTGACTTTCCCAAAGTGACACAATGAATCACTATCGGAGCTGAGATTTGACTTGAGGAGTTCCTTGCTGACTGTCCAGCACTATGCTCCATCTCTATGGTCCTGATTCAGTAAAACACTTAAAAACACGTATGTAACTTTAGGAACACACTTAAGTGCTTGGATGACTCAGAGTCTTTATCTGTATCTCTATTGCATCTGATGATCTGTGTATTTATAGTCTTCAAGATTGGATTTTATTTCCATGCAGGTTATCCAGGCTGTCTTTTTTGGGATCTGCGTATTGACTGATCTCTCCAGTCTTCTCACCAAAGGAAGTGACAGCCAAGAACAAGAAAGACAGTTAAAAAAGCTCATTTCCCTCCGTGACTGGATGATGGCTGTTTTAGCCTTTCCTGTTGGAGTTGTAAGTATGGTGCTAAGCAGTTAATTTCACTGCCATGCAGGTGCATCATTTAACTTGTTCATTGTTTCCTGACTGTAAAAAGATTGACATGATTAGCAAAAGGGATAAATGACTGAAAAAAGGGGGAAATGGGAGCACAGTTTTGTCACACTTTAGTTATCCTGAAGATAACTTTCAGTTACTTTTTAATTTAATTTTTTAAAAATAATCCACTGTTGAGGCATCTGGATTCATGATATAAATAAAATGTACTTACACATTAGGACGGGGTGGACAAACTACGGCCAGTGAGCCGTTTTAAGCTGGCCCACGAACTCCTGCTGGGGAGCAAGGTCTGGTGCTTGCCCCGCTCCAGCCGGGGGGTCCAGATCGGGGGCCACACCATGCGGCTCAGCCCTACTCCAGCTGGGGCACTCCAGCTGTGGCATGGCCCTGCTCCAGGGCGCACAGTTGGGGGCTACACCGCATGGCTCCCGGAAGCAGCTGCGTGGCCCCACTCTGAAGGTTGGGGGCCACTTCATGCACACGAGCCGGAGAAGGGATATGCTGCTGCTTCCGAGAGCTGCTTGAGGTAAGCGCTACTCAGAGCCTGCACCCCTGAGCCTCTCCCCATCCCCCAACCCCCTGCCCTGCCCTGATCTCCCTCCTGCTCTCCAAACCGCTCGATTCCAGCACGGAGCACCCTCCTGCACTACAAACCTCTCATCCACAGCCTCACCCCAGAGCCCTCACCCACAGCTAGAACCTGCACCCCTTCGTGCACCCCTGCCCCAGTCCTGATCCCCCTCCCGCCTTCCAAACCCCTCAGTCCCAGCCCAGAGCACCCTCCTACACCCTAAACTCCTCATTCCCACCCCTACCCCACAGCCTGCACCCCCAACCAGAGCCTTCACTCCCTCCCACACCCTAACCCCAATTTTGTGAGCATTCATGGTCTGCCATACAATTTCTATTCCCCAGTGTGGCCATCAGGCCAAAAAGTTTGCCCATCCCTGCATTAGGGTCTTGATCCTTTGCAAGTATGAGGTAGGTTGGCATGTAGACTGTTTGGGATTCAAGTTGGATTCTTTCTATATTGCACATCATCATCAGTGATAGAAGCTCTGCCCTCCATGGGTTTGCACAAGTGTAACTGACTGGAGTTTGCTAAGCAATTCTGTTGATGATGCAAAAGAGAGTAGAATCTAGCACTCTCCCTGTTAGCCCTTGGGCTCTTCAGAGCTAAGAGGAGTAAAAACATGTTTTTGTCATTAAGGTGCACTAGTTTCTCTCCAACACACAGAGGGGGCAGAGTAAGAAGGCATTTATGAGTACTTTTCAGAGTAAAACTGCTCTTCTATGGCTCTTAAATCAATGGGACTTTTGCCATTGACTGCAGTGGTGCAGGACTGGGCATGACGCAACTCAGATTGCCAGTGCTTTCCACCCAAAACTTGGACCAGGTTAGCAGAAGATTTGTGAACCTTACAATAAGCACAGGCCCAAATTGTCAAGCTGTAATGAGACTGGAAATCATGCCTCATTTTTTGTTTCTTTATGAAAGTTTGCCAGTTCTAATTGCAACCTTGTGAACCACTGTTCGCCTTGTACTGTCTTCTAGCTATACTGTACTGTCTCCTGCCTGTACTGTATGAGGTCTCATTGTCGACAATGTTTCATAACAACTAGGTATCTGTTGTAACTTTACAGTTAACACACCAATTTAAAATATCAAATTTTATATACTTCATCAGGCTTTGTTCAAATCCTTAGTGTGATATTTTACAGTCCACTCCATGAAGAAATACAGAATGCTTGTGCAAGGTTATAAAATATAAAACACATGTATAGCATTGTACAGGTGTTCCCTTCCCAGAACACCCAGTTGGTAGCCTTAAATTACTCATTAGCCATTGCTAAGGGTAACTGCTGCTATTCGTATTGGGTTAACTGGCTGCAATTTTTCTACTATGACATAAGAAACACACAGTAATGATTAATGTACTTTTAAAAAATACCTGGAAATAAACAGGCTTGCAAAATATCATTTTTTACAATTATATTTTGAGGAAGATTGGGAGTTATGTAGTAGTTGTGACTGTGACTGATAACAGATGCTTTTCCTGCTGTTGTTACTAGAAAAGAGAGAGCCCCTTAAGGACAGCATTACATTATTTTTAAGTTTTTAATTGATTCTTTTTGGGAAAAAAACTCACCATATTAGCTTTTACACACATCAAGAGACACATTCTCCTGCCTTTTCTGGCTCTCTCGCCAGCAATTCAGTATCCACAATGCCACTTACGATACTATGTTTCTCTCTCCTCTGTTTTAACTCTCTGCTGGCTTTTGTGTACTCCTTCAGTACCTCCTCTCATATTCCCAGCACTGAAACTTTTTAAGACCATTTGAGGCCTCCTGTGAAGACATTAGCTACAGCTTCTGTTGGCAGTAGCTGCAGTTTCTAAGCATTCGGAGCTATATCTATTTTTTTTCTTTCAGGCGTTACTTGTTTTGCCATCTGTGGAGGAGGAGTTAGCAAGCATTGTAAGCACTCTCTAAATGAGATGTACAAATGAGCATTCTCTAAATTAACCAGTTCCTAGGGGATATACTTCACACATGGGAACTAGCTGGTTTCCTAAGGGTTAAAACACACACAAATGTCCTGTATTGTCAAAGAAACCGAGAAAATAACTAGCTAAGTATATTGTAAATATAGTCTTTCTCTCTCTTTTTTTTTCCTAAAGGTGACTTCCAGATAGGGAACAAAATGTCTTTGCTTCATTTTTTGCTCTTAATTTTGTACAAAGAAGGCCTAAAAAGATTTTGTTGTTCCCGTCTCTCCTGGCTGCTGGGAGACAAACAGTAGAGCCTCCGAATGTAACACTCAGCAGCCAGACTCAGACTTTTCTGAATGTCTGGTCCTTCACCAATCAAGAGTCCCTCCTGAAACCTGACTCTTTCTCCGATTCATCAGTTACCACTCACTGGGTATGTCTACACTACGGAATAAGGTCGAATTTATAGAAGTCGGTTTTTTAGAAATCGGTTTTATATATTCGAGTGTGTGTGTCCCCACAGAAAATGCTCTAAGTGCATTAAGTGCATTAACTCGGCGGAGTGCTTCCACAGTACTGAGGCTAGAGTCGACTTCCAGAGCGTTGCACTGTGGATAGCTATCCCACAGTTCCCGCAGTCTCCGCTGCCCATTGGAATTCTGGGTTGAGATCCCAATGCCCGATGGGGCTAAAACATTGTCGTGGGTGGTTCTGGGTACATGTCGTCAGGCCCCCGTTCCCTCCCTCCCTCCGTGAAAGCAAGGGCAGACAATCGTTTCGTGCCTTTTTTCCTGAGTTACCTGTGCAGACGCCATACCACGGCAAGCATGGAGCCCATTCAGGTAACCGTCACCGTATGTCTCCTGGGTGCTGGCAGACGCGGTACGGCATTGCTACACAGTAGCAGCAACCCATTGCCTTCTGGCAGCAGACGGTGCAATACGACTGGTAGCCGTCCTCGTCGTGTCCGAGGTGCTCCTGGCCACGTCGGCTGGGAGCGGCTGGGCAGACATGGGCGCAGGGACTAAATTTGGAGTGACTTGACCAGGTCATTCTCTTTAGTCCTGCAGTCAGTCCTATTGAACCGTCTTATGGTGAGCAGGCAGGCGATACGGATTGCTAGCAGTCGTACTGTACCATCTTCTGCCGAGCAGCCATGAGATGTGGATGGCATGCAGTCCTTCTGCACCGTCTGCTGCCAGCCAAAGATGTAAAAGATAGATGGAGTGGATCAAAACAAGAAATAGACCAGATTTGTTTTGTACTCATTTGCTTCCCCCCCTCCCCTGTCTAGGGGACTCATTCCTCTAGGTCACACTGTAGTCACTCATAGAGAAGGTGCAGCGAGGTAAATCTAGCCATGTATCAATCAGAGGCCAGACTAACCTCCTTGTTCCAATAAGAACAATATCTTAGGTGCACCATTTCTTATTGGAACCCTCCGTGAAGTCTTGCCTGAAATACTCCTTGAGGTAAAGCCACCCCCTTTGTTGATTTTAGCTCCCTGAAGCCAACCCTGTAAGCCGTGTCGTCAGTCGCCCCTCCCTCCATCAGAGCAACGGCAGACAATCGTTCCGCGCCTTTTTTCTGTGCGGACGCCATACCAAGGCAAGCATGGAGGCCGCTCAGCTCACTTTGGCAATTAGGAGCACATTAAACACCACATGCATTATCCAGCAGTATATGCAGCACCAGAACCTGGCAAAGCAATACCGGGCGAGGAGGCGACGTCAGCGCGGTCACGTGAGTGATCAGGACATGGACACAGATTTCTCTGAAAGCATGGGCCCTGCCAATGCATTCATCATGGTGCTAATGGGGCAGGTTCATGCTGTGGAACACCGATTCTGGGCTCGAGAAACAAGCACAGACTGGTGGGACCGCATAGTGTTGCAGGTCTGAGACGATTCCCAGTGGCTGCGAAACTTTCGCATGCGTAAGGGCACTTTCATGGAACTTTGTGACTTGCTTTCCCCTGCCCTGAAGCGCATGAATACCAAGATGAGAGCAGCCCTCACAGTTGAGAAGCGAGTGGCGATAGCCCTATGGAAGCTTGCAACGCCAGACAGCTACCGGTCAGTTGGGAATCAATTTGGAGTGGGCAAATCTACTGTTGGGGCTGCTGTGATGCAAGTAGCCCACGCAATCAAAGATCTGCTGATATCAAGGGTAGTGACCCTGGGAAATGTGCAGGTCATAGTGGATGACTTTGCTGCAATGGGATTCCCTAACTGTGGTGGGGCCATAGACGGAACCCATATCCCTATCTTGGCACCGGAGCACCAAGCTGCCGAGTACATAAACTGCAAGGGGTAGTTTTCAATAGTGCTGCAAGCTCTGGTGGATCACAAGGGACGTTTCACCAACATCAACGTGGGATGGCCGGGAAAGGTACATGACGCTCGCATCTTCAGGAACTCTGGTCTGTTTCAAAAGCTGCAGGAAGGGACTTTATTCCCA